TTTGGTTTGGTTTGGTTTGGTTTGGTTTGGTTTGGTTTGGTTTGGTTCTGTTGTGGCAGGGAGTAGCGCAATAAGAAAGATTGAGAAGTCATTAAAATTCTGCGCTGCTTTTGAAAGCTTTAATAAACATGATGAAAAGATGGGGCGCCTGGTGGCTCCGTCGTTAAGCGTCTGCCTTCAGCTTGGATCATGATCCCAGGGTCCTGGGATCGAGCCCCGCGTCGGGCTCCCTGCTCGGCGGGAAGCCTGCTTCTCCCTCTCCCACTCCCCCTGCTTGTGTTCCCTCTTTTGCTGTGTCTCTCTCTGTCAAATAAATAAAGTCTTAAAAAAAATTGATGACAAGAGAAAATAGACTTTCTTCATTCTGCTTTACCGCAAGCCTTCAACAAGGAGTGAAAAAGAAACGATGCATTTTTATGAATCTATTTTTTTTTTAATGTAAAGCTTCTTTTGTTGGGTCTTATTTTTGTAATGCTGATTTTAGGGTTTTTTCTCTGTAGATTATAGATGAAATCTTGAAGATTAACGAAGACACCAAAGTGCACGGCCTTGCCCTTCAGATCTCCGAGAACTCGTTTAGCAACAAAGTCCTCAATGCCTTGAAACCAGAAAAAGATGTGGATGGGTGAGAAAATATAAAAGCAAACAATCAAGTCTTACTGCTAAATGAGCTTTTCTCCTGTGACCTTCTTTCCTTTTAGTTCCACTGTTTCAGCTGTGTCCGTAGTTAAGAGTGGAAGAAATCCTGTAACTAGTTCAGGAATTTGAGGGCTTTTTAAATTCCCTATAAGAAAGTTACATATTTTGGAATAGGTACTTGCCCTTGGCTTGGGTGCTGTTCTGGAAATAACGTCCTTCACACCATCACATTCATTTCGTAACCTCCTGCCTGACTTACGGAGTCCTTGACCAGCCTCCCTTTTCTAAATAAGCTTTTCCTTGCAAATTCTGCCAGAGCAAAGAAACACCCGAGTCCTGAGTCACCAGCAGTACCACATGCTTCCTTAGTCCCAGGCCAGTTGAGAAAAGCAAAACAAGCACTTTTATTCATAACACAAGGTTTTATTTGAAATTAGAGGGGAAAACTACAAATATGTGGTGTGCTAGTATTGTGTCTGACTCACGTCTGGCGTGACATCCGCTTCATGAGACGAGGAGTACTGCCCATTCATATGGGCGATTAGGGCTTTTCATGGAGAGTAAAAACCTCATTTTCCGACATGGAAATAGGAAATGTTTTGTACTGCGACCGAAAAGAACATCAGGTATTTAGTGTTACAAGGTTGTAAGCAAATTCAAAAATTAGACTCCCAATCCAGTGTGTCTCACGGGAGCTGGATGGAAAGGTTCCCGCCTGGCGGACACACCCAGGCTCCTTCCGTTACTCTAGCCTCTGTGGGCAGTCAGACCGAGGATAGACCCAAACACAGGTTGAAAAGTTGTCATGAAAACCTCTGATCCAGTACCAGACTAACTAGAAAGGAGAAGCCCTAATCAATGAGAAAAATCCAGAACCCAAAGGTATCAAAGTGTAATTTCAAATCTTTCGTGAAAGCTTTTCTGTGTCTCCATTTTGTTACTAACTTGTATTGAGACCGTCACTTTCAGCTAGATAGTTATGGACCATTTGGTCCTGGATTTGAATGAGGAAGAGCACAGAAGCCATTCAAAGTACATGGTCACTCAGATTTGATTTCTGAGTGACCATGGAGGTAAGTACTGATGTTAAATGGGGATCAGACTTGTGAATCCCACATCTTGCAAGGTCACCCCAGACTTCTAGGATTGGTCCTGGATTTTGATACTGATTGAGATATAAATGCCCTCAAGGAAAAAATGAGTTTGGCTGCATGACAATGGTGTTGCACACTTTAGGGGCACCATTGTGCACAGTGAGGCCTTCTATGGCCTTATGCTGTGGTCCTGCTATCCAGGCAGAACCAGAATTCCCAAGGTTGTCCCAACCCACAGGGCCAACTGCAGAGTTTCCCAAGGGACTGCTCTAAGAAACTAGTGGTCTTCATTCCTGCCCACTCCTTAATTTATATTTAATGATTTCATATAGCCTATCTGTCCAACGTTGATGGGGATATTATTTGGGATTAATACATGTGAGTTATAGATGAGTGAGTTGACCAAGTTTTGACTTACAACTTTCCTTTTTTTCAAATTCAGAGTAACAGACATAAACCTGGGGAGGCTGGTCCGTGGAGATGCCCATGAATGTTACATCTCACCTGTGGCCAGAGCTGTGATTGCACTTCTTGAAAAGTCAGGTATGATTGCTCCTTCAGAAATGCTGTGATTTTCTCTTTTTTGGGACTTAACTTGATTTATTTTTATTTATTTATTTAAAGATTTTATTTATCTATTTGACAGAGACACAGTGAGAGAGGGAACACAAGCAGGGAGAGTGGGAGAGGGAGAAGCAGGCTTCCCGCGGAGCAGGGAGCCTGATACGGGGCTCGGTCCCAGGACCCTGGGATCATGACCTGAGCCGAAGGCAGTCGCTTAACCAACTGAGCCACCCAGGTGCCCCCACCCAGGCGCCCCTCACCCAGGCGCCCCTTAACGTGATTTTTAAATAGGATTTCTTTCCTGAAGATTCTAACTGAAACGTAGATAATACAAATGATATTCAACATAGAAACAAGTGATATTCAAAGTCGGCTCTTTTTCTCATCGTCTGGGGGATACAAATGACTATGACAAATTTTTCTAACAAGATAACTGTATTATAGTTTTAAAAAGAAACTGGTAAAGTTGAGTGGCCTGTTGTGAACAAAGGCTTGGCTTCTCTCAGGAAACACTCAAAATAACCACAATGAAAAATGTTCCAAGTTTCAACTTCTCAAATCTGTCAATATGTAAATGTAAATAAAACTTACATTTAACATTTAAATGAGGAAGCTGTCAGATATAGTTCAGGGTGTGGAAACCTCACTTGGGATTTATCAGTGAGCAGTATCTCTTTCAGTAATCAGTATTTAATTTCCAACGTTCTCCCCTTGACCCTTCTCTTTTACGTCAGTGACATAGAAATGAACAGTTTCTTTTTCTTGGTTATCAGATTGATGAGTAAATTATTACTGTGTGTTTTATATATTTTAAGGACTTTCTAGCTGAGTATATAAAAATTTAACTAAATTTTTCTCTATTCCAGCTTAGTAAAAGAGAAGCAAATGTCCCTCCTCCATACCAAAACACACAACCGTCAAACAAAAATTGCAAAATATTTAATATGCCAAATATATAAAGAACTTATACAACTCAATACCCAATAATAATAATAATCCGATTAAAATATTAGAAATGTCTGGGGTACCTGGGTGGCTGTTGGTTAAGCGTCTGCCTTCGGCTCAGGTCATGATCCCAGGGTCCTGGAATCGAGCCCCACATCCGGCTCCCTGCTCAGTGGGAAGCCTGCTTCTCCCTCTCCCTCTGCCTGCCGCTCCCCCGCTTGTGCTCTCTCTCTATCTCCCTGTCAAATAAATAAATAAAATCTTTAAAAAATATATTAGAAATGTCTGAATAGACGTTCTTCCAAAGAAGACATGCAGATGGCCTACAAGCGTGTGAAAAAGTGCTCAATATCACTCATCATCAGGGAAATGCAAATAAAAACCACAATGAGATATCACCTCACACCAATCAGAATGGCTAGAATCAAAAACAGAAGAAATAACAAGTGTTGATGAGTATGTGGAGAAAAAAGAACCTTCGTGCACTGTTGGTGGGATTGCAAACTGGTGCAGCCACTGTGGAAAACAGTATGGAGGTTCCTCAAAAAATTAAAAATAAAAATACTATATGATCCAGTAATTCCACTACCCGGGTGTTTACCCAAAGAAAATGAAAACAGTAATTCCAAGAGATATATGCTCCCCTATGTTTATTGCAGCATTATTTACAATAGCCAAGATATGGAAGGAAGCTAAGTATCTACTGATAGATGAATGGATAGAGAAGACGTGGTATACATCCACAATGGAATATTACTCAGCTGTAAAAAAGAGTGAGGTTTTGGGGCGCCTGGGTGGCTCAGTCGTTAAGCGTCTGCCTTCGGCTCAAGGTCATGGTCCCAGGGTCCTGGGATTGAGCCCCACGTCGGGCTCCCTGCTCAGTGGGAGACCTGCTTCTCCCTCTCCCACTCCCCCTGCTTGTGTTCCCTCTCTCACTGTGTCTCTGTCAAATAAATAAATAAAATCTTAAAAAAAAAAAAGGTAAGGTTTTGCCATTTGTGACAACATGGATGGACCTAGAGGGTATGCTAAGTGAAATAAGTCAGAGAAAGACAAATATCATATGATTTCACTTATATGTGGTATCTAAAAAACAAACAAAGGCAGAAACAGACCCATAAACATAGAGAACAAACTGGTGGTTGCCATGCAGGGTTTGTGGGCAAAATGGGTGAAGGGGGGTAGGAAGCACAGGCTTCTAGTTATGGAATGAATAAGTCATAGGAATAAAAGGTTCAGCAGAAGGAATATAGTCAATGGTATTGAAATAGCGTTTATGGTGACAGATGGCACTATGCTTATAGTGAGCACAGCGTGACATATAGTCTTATCGAATCCCTTTGTTGTACACCTGAAACTAATGTAACATTGTGTGTCAACTCTACTTCAGTAAAAAAACTCCTCCAAAATAATATACCAAAGTTCCATTAGAAGATTAATTTTTTTTTTTAAGATTTTATTTATGTATTTGACAGAAAGAGACACAGCGAGAGAGGGAACACAAGCAGGGGGAGTGGGAGAGGGAGAAGCAGACCTCTCGACCGACAAGCAGGGATCCCGACGCGGGACTCGATCCCAGGACCCCGGGATCATGACCCGAGCCGAAGGCAGACACTTAATGACTGAGCCACCCAGGAGCCCCAGAAGATTAATTTTTAATACATACCTCTAAGACATTAGCCATTAAGCTGAGATAAGCCATGTAGACACTGTTTTTCCATCATGTGAATGATCAGGATGATGATTCTCACTCAACCATAACATTCACAAAGAAAGAGTAAATCGTGGCTGATAGTCCTTATAGGCTCTAACTTGGCTCAGAGGGCCAAGTTTTAAAAAGTTCTTTTTCGTAATGCTAAAGCTGCATAGGAGAAAGGCTCTGAAGTTTTGATTATAATACTGAATTTCCATTTGGTGGATAGGTGTCAACTTAGATGGAAAGAAGATCTTGGTAATAGGAGCCCATGGGTCTTTGGAAGCTGCCTTGCAATGCCTATTCCAGAGGAGAGGGTCCATGACAATGAGCTCCCAGTGGGAAACACCTCAGCTTCAAAGCAAGGTAAGCATCTTTCATGGGGGAAACATAATTTTAAGTGCTTATATTAGAAAAGGAAAAGGACTAGAAATGTATAGGCTAATCATTGAACATAAGAAGTGAGAGAAGGAACAGAAAATCTCAAAGGATGAAAACAATAAAGAGCAGAGATTCATGAAATAGAAAGCAAATATATGTCAGAGATTATCAACTAAGCCAAAAGTTGGTTTTTGGAAGAGTCTAGTAAAATGGAAACACCACTAGCCAAAATAATCAAAATCAAAAGAGAACACCAGCAATGTTAGGAATGAACAAAGGGACATGACCGCAGAACAAAAATTGTTTTCTTAAAAGGAGACTATGAACTATTTAGACTGGTAAATTTGAAAATTTGTATGAAATGAAAACATCTATGTAACTTACAAAATGGATTTAAGTAAAATTGATTAGACTTATATACATTAAAGATATTGGATCAGTCTACCCACCAAACATGCAAACAAAAGGAGTTCTACTCTCATCAAAGAACAGATCATAATCTTTTCTCCAAAGAATAGAAAAAGAACACTTTCTAACCCAATTTTATGAGTGCCCAGACCAGAGGATAGGATGCTCAAGGACAATTACAGGCTCATTCCATCTGTGAACATAGATAAAATAATCATTATCAGAATGTTAGCAAACCAAATCCAGCACCAGGTTGGGGTCATCATAGGATTGCAAGTGTGGTTTAATATCAGAAAATTCCATTAAAATCTACTGACATAATTCACAACATTATCAGATTAAAAACTATGCTGTCACCATCATAGATACAGAAAAGTCATTTGATAAAATCCTTTATGATTTTTTTCCTAAAAAACCTCTTACTCTAGGAAAGTAAAGGAATTTCTTAACCCAGGAAATATCTATAAAAAGTTAGAGCAAGTATCTCATTTAATAATGAAATACTGGAAACATTTCTTTTAAAATTTGGAAAGATATAAGGGTGCCTGTTATCAGTACTCCTAATCAGCTCTGTTTGGGAATTACTAGACAGTGCCGTAATGTGAAGAAAGGGAGAATTTATAATGATTGGAAAGGAAGACACCAGACTGTCATCAATCCTAGATGATACCATTACCTACATTAAAAACTCAAAAGAATCTATAAAAAAATATGAGAATGAGTAAGAGTTCACTTGGGTTCTTGGATATAAGATCAGCATGCAAAAACCAAGTGCATTTCTAAACACCACATCCATAGTTAAAAGATTAATTATTTTTTAAAGATTTATTTATTTGAGAGAAAGAGAGCACACATGTGAATAGTAGAGGGAGAGGGAGAGGGAGAGAAAGCCCTAAACAGACTCTGCCCTGAGTACAGAGCCTGACTCGGGGCTCAGGTTCAATCTCACAACCCGGAAACCTCGACCTGAGTTCAACCAACTGTGCCACCCAGGCTCCCTGTAATTTTTTATTAATTTTTTTAAATTCTTAGAGTTTTTAATAGCAATGAGAATATAAGGCACTTAGGAATATATTTAACAGAAGTTATTTATGATCTTTTGAAAGAAATTATGTAATTTTGATGAAGGTCATTAAGAAGACTCAAAAACAGGGATACCATGTTCATGGATAAGAGGACTCAATTTCAAGAGAAACGAACATGGCAGCATGTTGGTGGCTTTGTAATAAAGAGATTTGGCCTTGTTAAAAAAAAAAAGAGGACTCAATATCTTAAAGATACTGATCCTGCCCAAATTAATCTATAAATTTGAGTCAAAGTCCTGACTTTTATTGTTTTGGAGAGTTTGACAAACTGATTCTAAAATTTAATGGAAGGGGTGCCTGGGTGGCTCAGTCAGTTAAGCGTCTGCCCCTGCTTGTGCGTGCGCGCGCTCTCTCTCTCTCTCTCTCTCTCTCTCTCTCTCTCTCTCTCTCTGTTAAATAAATAAATAAAATCTTTAAAAAATAAAATAAAATTTACACAGAGATAGAAGGGCAAAAACAAGACAATGTTGAAGAGGTCTTGAGCTGTGGAAAAAAAGCATTTGCAAAAGGATATATTGCATGTGACACCATTTATTTAAGTCTAAAAGCAATACCATATATATCTATGCTTTAGGGCTACATATATAAAGTAAAAGACTAAAGAAATGTCCAGGAAACCATTTACCAGGACAAAGATGTGGATGTAGGTGGAAAGGATCACTAGTATTGGTCATGCCTTTTTTCTGGGCAGTGGGCTGGGTGTCCAGGTGCATTCTATCATCCTTTTACATTTTCATGGCTGGAACAGTTAATAAAGTTTTTAATTTCCAAAAATGGCAATGAATTTTTACAAATTTCATGCAAAGTGAAGTTAAATTAAAAGTGTGTTAAAGACAGTAAAGTAACCGCAGAACAACATTGAAAATACATGTTCTTATGTTGCCCCATGAGAACAGAAGTAGTTGTAGTCCTGCCCAGGGAAAGCAGGTGTCTCAACGACAGAGAAGTGTAATATTTGAGTGGCAGCTGGATCTAATCGATGTAATTCTCCTATTAAGACAGCTGAGAAACGTGGTCAAAACCTATGTGCCTTTCTAGTGGTCACCACATGGTGGCAGCCTATTCAAGAAAATTCAAGGACTGTGCTTTGTAATTCAGAGACGAGAATTTTTGATTTGGAAGCTTAGCAGAAGAAAACAAACCCTGCTCTCAACTGAACAGCTGGGGTGAAAAAGAGAAAAATACCTTCATTGGCAACTGAATGTTTTCACAGCTGTCACAGATACTTTGCTGGTTGTATCTGTATTTTGGTAAAACAAAGACATCTTTCAAAGTACTTTTTTATTATGGAAATAAATCACCTTGACTCTTCTTTGGGATAAATCTCATCCTAACTTTGAGACCGATCTAGTGGCTCTACTCTCTAGAGAATTTAGAAATTGGGTAACTTTCCTGTTTTCCAATATCCAGGAAGGTTCTCTTGAATAGTTCTTGTTGCACACACATTCTGCTTCCTGAGTCCTGGGTACTTACAATGGCACCACCGTGAATCTTAGAGACTGTGGCCTTTCTCCTTATTGCTTCATCTTTGTAGCCAAAAATATGGAGAGGAAGGTTCAGGGCTCCTCATACTGGTCTTTGAAATTTATTTGGCTTCTGGCATTTGGCCCCCCTGTACCTGGCCTCCTACTTACTACTTGTCGCACCACAAGACAAAGCCTTATTCTTTCCATTTTTCATGCCACCAGCTAACACTTCACTAGCCACCTACCTCCCAGCGGACAAGCCTCCATGCTTCTGCCTGACATTTGACTTTTCCCTCTTCCTGTATTTTATTTCTAAAACACAAGCCATTGCTGGGACTTGTTTCAAAGAATTCAGACTGCAGACCTCTGCAGACTACAGTGGTAGCAGGTAATGTGGTACCAACAGCACCTGGGCACAGGGTTGGCATTCTGGGGCACCTGCCCGGGTCAGGGTGTGTGTCCACCCTTGCTTGCCACACCCTTAGCAGACCTTCCCTGTGAAAAACAGTGAACGTGTAAGTTTAACAAGGGTTTGGGATTTTTGTTTTCTTGCTTCATCAACAACGAATAGTACAATGTAAGATTATAGTACATTTAGATTCTCCTTATCAGCAGTGCTAAGTGTTGGGGAAAGAAAAGGGAAAACAAAGGATTATAGCTATTAAGTCGAAGGAAATCATCTTTGCAAAGCATTTCTTACAGGCTTGTTTGTACCTGACATGAAGCAAGCTTTCCCATTTGAAGGATCAAAGGGTGTCTTTTTTTTTTTTTTTTTTTTGAGCAAAGTTAAGTGATTACAAAATCATATCCAGTTTAAATGGAAAGAATAAGTTGGCCGTCTGGTTGGGGATTTCCATCATGAAAGGTTTCGGGATCAGGAGGTGACCACGTAACATTAGAGTCCTGCTTACCACCTCCTACACTACATGTAGTCTCTCAAGTATGGGATGATGTATAGGCAGTCACAGCCTACTGCAACCAGTAGGAACTGCCTTGGAGCATTCGGAGTCAGACACGTTTGTGTTCTCAGTAAGCGGTAGGACATAGGCTTTGGTGACAAACAGCTCTGGGTTCAAGCCTTAGCTGTCACTTAACTTTTCTGAACCTTGTCTCTTCATGTGTAGAGTGGGGATCATACTACTCCCCCCCTCATAGGGCTGCTGCGGGGGGTGGGTTCAGTCGTACAAGTGTGCTTAGCACAAAACTTGGCACCTACGAACATCACATTAATAACTTGGCTGCTATTAACGGTGAGTCAGGAAAGACACTGGCCAGTTTCACAATGTGGAAAAGTCAGTGGGTCAATGAAATCATAAGGAGATTTAAACTAATATAATAGTGGGACCTGGGTCCCTCATTGGAAGCCCAGTGGACATAATTCCAATGTATGGCTGGCAGAAGGAGTCGCTGTGGGAGGGCCTTGCAACATCTGGAGGTGGAAAGGATGAAACCAAAGCAAGACTAAGAGAGAGTGTCTGGGAGAGAGTGGGTGCCCAGCTTTGGCCTTTATCACCGCCCCCCCACACACACACCAGTATTACCAACTTTAAGTAATGTGGACCTCTTCCTTCCCGCAAGCCCTGTCCCTCAGAAGCCACTCTACTTCAAGTCCGGTCTGGTGGGGGTTCCTTGTTTATTAATTACTTCTTACGGGAATATATTCCTTCCTACAATGTTGAGGGATGTTTACATAGAGTTAGTTGAATAGAAACGGATTCTGATTGCACATAAAATCTCCATGGAGCCTAAGCATGAAGAATTGAGATTTGCCTTTTCAGAGTTTTGTGGAAAATAGAGTAGACTCCTGTGATTTTCAACTTTACCGCTTACTTACCCTCTGAGTGTGTCACTGAAAATTAAGAATAAGTTTCCTGCTTTGTTTCTGAGCTTCACTTTTGGGCTTTGCTAGAAGTTAATGCATTTATACGTGGGGGAGGGGAAGAATGTCTGGGCATTTGTCCAAATTAGCTGCATGTAATGGAGGATCATCGGCTGTCAGTAAGCAAAAGCACTGGGTATGATGTTT